CCCGAAGAGCTTGCCTGCTCAGAGCAAAGGGGTAATCCAGCCACGCGCAGAGGGGGGATGGGATGAGGGGTGAGGGGTTCTTAGAAACACCCATGCTTCTTAGACGGCGCGGGCCTTGTCTATAGATATAAGGCTGGCGCCTCTTGAGAAGCAGCCTCGCTTTAAGAAACCCTCCCCCCTCCCTCCACCCCCTTTGTGCGCGCCGCCAAGCAAGGGGGGAACCTTGGAATACACCCCAAGGTTAGCGGCCCTTGCCTGGTGGCCCGGGCTGCGGGAGAAGATCAGGGGGGGACAAAAGCACACGGACACAGTTCACCGTCGACCCCCTGGGAAAAATAAGGAACTATGGGAGGCGGGGGGGACGACGAACACCCAGAAAGTATTCGGGAACATGTGGGGCATCTTGGGATTCGTGCGTATTTGTTTGTTTGTCCCTGGGCCCCTTTTCCGAAGATCTCGGCGCCTCACGGCGGGGAGCCTCGGGGCCCCCGGCCCTGGCGCGCGTGCGCGGGCCGACGGGGACGTGGCACTAAGCTGCGCCCCGCACGACTGGCACGACTGCGTACTCGCTGGGCCGGATGAAAGGGCGCGGAAGGGTTCGTCTGGGGGCTCCTAGGAGGCGGGGGTCCATGCAGACTGGGGTCAGCCAGAGCGCCCGATCTTGCAGGATCCTGCAGGGGCAGGGCCGCACTGACCCGGGCCTGGGTGCAGGATCCTGCAGGATAATGCAGGATCCTTCGCATTGACCCGGGTTTGGGTGAAGGGTCTTGCAGGATCTTGCAGGATTCGGCAAGGCCTGATTGACCCGGGTGTGGGTTGACCTGGGTCAGAAGATCCCCGATCGTCGTCGTGGTTGCGCCGTGGGTCCGGGACCATCGAGCCGAGACGGCAGGGAAAGGAGAGAGAGAAGAGAGAGAGAGAGAGAGAGAGGGAGCGAGAGCGAGAGCGAGAGAGAGAGAGAGAGAGCGGAAGCGAGGGAGGCAGCGCGTCGCCCCGCGGTGGCACCTGCGGCGGCGTCCGGAGTGCGCGGGGAGGGATAGAGAGAGAGAGAGAGGGAATGAGCGAGAGGGAGAGGCAGAGAGAACACGATAGGGAGTGCGAGAGGGAGGGAGAGAGAGAGAGAGAGAGAGACGAGCGACAAGCGAGAGAGAGAGGGGGGAGAGACGCAGCGAGAGAGACACAGCGAGAGAGCGAGGAGAGAGTGAAGCACCACTGTAGGAGAGCCGGAGCAGCGCCTCGAGAGCGCTCGGGCACGGAGCTTCCGCGCCCCTGCCCCGCGCGAGGGCCAGCCACCGCGGCGGCGGGCGTCGGGGAGTCCCAGCCCTCCCCCTCCTCCCATTGCCTCGTGCTTTCCGCCCGCTTCTGCTCCTCCCTCCTACTGCTGCTGCTGGTGCTGCTCCTCCTCCTCCTCCTCCACCTCCCCCTCGTACTCTTTCTCACTCCTCCTCCTACTCCGCCTCACTCCTCCTCACTCCCTCCTCCTCCTCCTCCCTCTCCTCCTCCTCCTCCTCCTCCTCCTCCTCCTCCTCCTCCTCCTCCTCCTCCTCCTCCTCCTCCTCCTCTCCCCTTCTCCTCCTCCTGGCTCCTCCTCAATCCTCTCTGCGCCTCCTGTCCGCCTCTCTCCACCTCCCTCTCCTCCTCCTCCTCCTCCTCCTCCTCCTCCTCCTGCCTCCTCCTCCTCCTCAATCTCGTTCTTCTTGCTCCCCCTCCTCCCCTCCTCCTCCTCCTCCTCCTCCTCCTCCTCCTCCTCCTCCTCCTTACTCCTCCTCACTCCTCCTTTGTCCTCACTCCTTCTCCTCCTCCTGTTCCTCCTCCTCCTCCTCCTCCTCCTCCTCCTCCTCTCCTCCTCTTACTCCTCCCTTCCTCCTCCTCCGCACTGCTCCTCATCTTCTCCTCCTCCTCCTCCTCCTCCTCCTCCTCCTCCTACATACTCTTCCTCCTCCGTCTCGCCGTCCTTCTCAATCCTCCTCCTCCTCCTGATCCCTCCTCCTCCTCCTCCTCCTCATCTCCTCTCCTTCTCCATCTCCTCACTCTCCTCACTTCCTCCTTCGCCTCACTCCTCCTCTCTATCCTCATCCTCCTCCTCATTCTCCTCCGTCCTCCTCCTCCTCCTCCTCCTCCTCCTCCTCCTCCTCCTCCTCCCTTCCCCTGGCGTCGTTGTCGTCCTCGCCCTCTTCTTTCTCCCCGCTCCTCCCCTCCGTCCTCTCCTCCCCGAGGGTTCACTTGGAACAAGGACCAAGGATGGAGGATCGGCGCCTTCTGTCGAGGATCCCGGCGGACCGACGGATCGATGAGGATCGCACGTCCCCTGGGCACTCCAGCCCCGCCCTCCGGTATCAGAAATCTGTCCGAGATAGCAACTTGGCCAGGATGGACCCCTGAAGGAGTCCCTGGGATGCAGTTCGACCGGATTTTAGTCGTTGCGTCGTCACCGACGATACAGGGCCCAAAGGTATACACCACCACCACCACCACCACCTCCCTCATCCCCTCCCTCCTCCCAGGAAAGAGGAGAGGAAGACGAGGGTGGAGGAGGGAGGAGGAGACGACGTGATGGTGGTGTACATTCTTGAGGCCCGCAGACGACATTTGAGGAGCGATTGTGGACGTTTTCGAAGTTGTTTTTCTAGGTCTTGACCTCCTGGAGGTCTCGCGTCGCCTTCGGCTGGAAGGCCCTTCAAAGTTTTGGTTCCAGCGGGCCTTTGGAGAGATCCAGGGGCTGATTGTGAGGCCACCGCCAGGATGTATAAAGATGCCTCGGGGATTGGTGGGTATCGATCTATGGCTCGGCTCCAGGGGCTGATTTTGAGGCCACCGCCAGAGTACATACATGTATATGTATACATATATGATGCCTGGGGAGTTGTGGGTATTGATCAATGCTCGCTCCTGCGGCCCCTACGTGGCGAGAAGGTATCCACATCCTTTGCTTCCCAGGATCCCAGGGCGGGACTACGGAAATTGCGGATGGGGAGCCCTGTCAGCGCATGAAGGCCAGCATAGCGCCGATCGCATCCGTTCTTGGACTTGTTTGACTCTCCTCTCCCCTCCCCCTTCGTCCGCCTTCGGCGAAGGATCCAGGCCGTCACGGCCGAGGCTTTGCCGTGTTTGTCCTCGTCGGCCACCCTTGCTGTGGTTGTGGCCGTCGTCATCGCTGTCGCCGCTTCCGTCGGAATCTGTGCTGTCCTCTGTCGTCACCCTCCTCGTCACCACGTGCCCAGGGTGCCGGCGTCTCCGCCACCGTGGACCAGGTCAATGCAAAAAGATTCGGCAGAAGTCGGGAGCAATTCTTTCTGGGTTCCTTATCGATCGCTGCCGTCGTTCGGGGCCGTTTTGCAGTCAGGGTCGCTCTGTACGCGCTTCGGCGACGGCCAATCTCGACTACACTCCTGGGTTTCACTTGCTACATTTTTTACGGAAGGATGGGCAAGCCATGGAGCTTCGTAACCAACAGCATGAAGACTGCGGCGAGCAAGCGCCAGATTGTCATCGAGGGCGAACGAGACTGCCACGCGCCCATCAAGAGCTACGTCCACGACAAGCTCTCTGGGGTTGCTGCCGCTGTGTACCATGACAAGCCTGACAAGGCATGGTCCCTTCTGGTCGGATTCGACGGCCCGATCCGATTCGATTCTGAAATTCCGACGATCCGATGCGGCCCGATGCTTGCATGGTGCTGTCATGAAATCTGGCGCGATCCGACCCGATACGATCTTGACTCCGTGGCGATGAAGCCCGAGCCGATGCGCACTGTTCGGTTCGACCCGACCTGCCGATCCGACGCCGAATGCCAGGGCGACGACCTGCTGACCGTCGTGCCCCCCGCAGACAAGGTGGTCTGCTGATATCCACTTGGCTTAAGTCGGGCCTGTCCCTCTACAGGAGGAATATGCAAATATTCAAAAATAGTATGAACATAGTCTGGGGACAATGTTTTGACAAGTTTTGTGCATTTTTGATGTATCATTTGTTTATTTTTTATTCATCGTGCAAGATCCGCCTGTAGGGGGACACGCCCGTCTGAACACTTGGCCAGCCCCGCGGACAGAGGGGAGCCTTGCAGCACCGGAGAGCGCCTGACGCTTTTTCTGGGGAGTGCTCCTCTGAAGCCCTGGCGACTTCGGCTGTTACCTCATCGAGAAGAGATGAACACCTGACCTTAACGACACTTTGAAGACGTGGCCTCACTTGGGTCCCCGTGTCCGCCTTAGGGATATACATCTGGGCGGTTGGGTCTGATACATTTGCCCTAACGTTTTTAGCCCTCCTAACTTAGGGCCCTTCCCAAAGGACTAGGGCTGTTTTCGTTGCTTATAACCTGGGGGGGGAGGATTAGGGCTCGACCTAAACGGTGCTTTTGCGATTTCGTTGGGCGTTTTCGTTTCGGTCTCGTTTCGCAGCAGATGCGAGACGAAGACAAAGCTGGGGAACACGGAAACCACACGCAGACGGGAACAACGTGTAGGTTGAGCCTTGGGGAGAGCGGGCCGGGGGCGGGGCTGGGGGGCAAGACGGTAGCTCCGTGCGGCGTGAGCGCGACGGCGATGCCGGCGGAGGCGTTCTGGGTTGCCGTCTGCGACGCGGAAGCACTTCGGGGGCCCCCAAACGGGGTGGTGATCACAACGTGTGGTGAGTCGGTGGGGATTCGGGGTCACCGCACGGTTTTGGGACTCGGGTCGTTCTCCGAGGACGTCTCGTGCGACTGGGGCATCCGAGGTCCCAAAATCGTGCGTTGACGGACCGTGCGGTGAGGTCTTGGGGGATTTCGAGGTCACCGCACAGTCTGTCACCGCGCCGTTTCGGGACTCCACAGCACCGATGGGCACAGTCACGCCAGTGGACCCGATTGAAATCAGCCCGGAACGATCGGGGCCGCGATCGGTTCAAGGTGGACTGATCGAGGCGGTCCCAGAATTTTGGCGCGCGCCGACGCAGCACGAACCTATTGCACTTGGGGGAGAGGTGGGCGGGGGGGAGGCGGGGCCAGGATTACGTCAGGCCTGTCTCCCTACAGGGGGATTTTAGGCGAATCTTTTTCCCTACCATCCTGTGGTGTTGGGTCCTTGTCTTGAAGAGACGGTGCCCCGCGTTCCTTCCTTCCCGCCCTCCTCCCCCTCCTCCCTCCTCCCTTGCGCTTCATCCACCCAGTCACAGCGTTTCGTGGCCCCATAGGGAGCTCCACCGAAGGCCCAAGTGACAGGGTTCGCATGGCGGCACCGCCCGCCTTTGGCGCACCCCGCACACGTTTCGTGGCCGCATGGGGAGCTCCACCGAAGGCCCCAGTGGCAGGTTTCACATGGCGGCCCCGCCCTACTTTGGGGCACCCCTCACACGCTTCGTGGCCCCACAGGGAGCTCCAACGAAGGCCCCAGTGGCAGGTTTCGCATGGCGGCCCCGCCCCATTTTGGGGCACCCCTCACATGGTTCGTGGCCCCAGAGGGAGCTCCAACGAAGGCCCCAGTGGCAGGTTTCGCATGGGCGGCCCGCCCCATTTTGGGGCACCCCTCACATGGTTCGTGGCCCCAGAGGGAGCTCCGCAGAAGGCCCCAGTGGCAGGGTTCGCATGGCGGCCCCCGCCCCATTTTGGCGCACACTCCTCAACACGGTTCGTGGCCCCAGAGGGAGCTCCACCGACGGCCCCAGTGGCAGGTTTCGCATGCGCCCTGCGCCATTCTGGCGCACCTTTCAGACGGTTCGTGGCCCTGCATCACCGAAGGCCCCAGTGGCAGGCAGGGTTCGCATGGCGGCCGCCCCATTTTGGCGCACCCCTCACACGGTTCGTGGCCCCACAAGGGAGTGGCAGGCAGGGTTCGCATGGCGGCCGCCCCATTTTGGCGCACCCCTCACACGGTTCGTGGCCCCACAAGGGAGTTCCACCGAAGGCCCCAGTGGCAGGGTTCGCATGGCGGCCCCGCCCCATTTTGATACACCCCTCACACGGTTCGTGGCCCCAGAGGGAGCTCCACCGGAGGTCCCAGTGGCAGGGTTCGCATGGCGGCCCCGCCCCATCACACGGTTCGTGGCCCCACAGGGAGCTCCACCGAAGGCCCCAGTGGCAGGGTTCCCATGGAGGCCCCGCCCCATTCTGGCGCATCCCTCACACGGTTCGTGGCCCCACAGGGAGCTCCACCGACGGCCCCAGTGGCAAGGTTCGCATGGCGGCCCCGCGCCAGTTTGGCGCACCCCAGCGTTTCTCCTATGGTTGGGCCCTTCTCCAGTTTGTTCCTATATATATATATATGTATATATATATATGTATATATATATATATATATAGATTTCAAAGATGTTCAAAATTAGCCAAACAATTGTCGCAGGACTATTTTTTGAGTATTTTAGACGATCCCTCCTGTAGAGGCACAGGCCCGACTGAAGGCCAAGAGCGTCACGACTCGCGCAGGCGCCGTCTGGCAGTTAGCTACACCTAGCATTGAGTCGGGCATGCCCCTCTGTAGGAGGAATGCTCAAGAGTATCACAAAACAGTCTGGGGACGCCGTTTCGACTATTGTTTCACTATTCTGGAGCATTCTTGGACTAGCTTTGTGTTTTCCTCCAAGATCCGCTTGCAGGGGGACATGCCCGACCTAAACCTAGTACTTCCAATCGGCGCTGGCGCGAATCGTGGCGTTACGAGGTGGGGCGGGGGAGGGGGTGGGGCATAACGTGGAGACCCATGCCAAGAAACAACCTGCTCGCCTCCAGGGTGCCCTGGGTTTCTCGGGTTTCGATGGTTTTGCTGCCGAAAGCGCGGCGCCCCCACACCAAAAAGCAATGGACGTCCTGGGGTCTCAGGATTGGGTTTCTTGTGGAAGGTTTCTTGTGTCAGGCGATCGCAAACATGGATTAAGGGGCGTGGATTAGTGACGGGTCCGTTTCCATGGGAAATCGCGAATTTCCGCCGCCGAGCGAGGCGGCACCGGCCGCATTTTGGGGAGGCCACCTCCCCCATCGGGCCCCTGCTGCTCCCGGTGACGGCCGTTGCCGCGAGTCGTGAAGAGCGCGCTCCTGCCCCGCGCGGCCTGGACCAGCGCCATTGGCCACCGTCACTCACTGCGCCCAGGCCTCCGGCGGCCCGCACTGCGAGGTCCGCTCACGGGAGCCTTGGGCGGCGACGCTGAGGTCGGCCGGTTCTGCAGGTGGACCGCCTCCGGCCCTCTCTCCTGCTCCTTCTCGTCCTTCCTGCTCCTCCTCCCCCTCCTCGTTCTCATCGTCTCCCTTGTGAAGGGGCCAGTCCTTCGGTATCGTTCAACCGACCCCCATCCCCATCCCCATCCCTTTCGAGGTTCCCACCAAATAACCACTCCAGTTATGGATACACCCCTGGAAACCCGAAGGGGACGGCCTATATCCGAAAGAGCGTGTTCTACCGCTGCTGGCGGAAAACCGGGGGGGGGTCACTACCGGTTCGAACCCCTCCCCCCCCCCCCTCCGGAAAACCGGGGGGGGTCACTACCGGTTCGAACCCCTCCCCCCCCCCCCCAGTTCATCATGAAAAGGAGGGGGGGTCACTACCGGTTCGAATCCCCCCCCCCCCTCGAACTCGAAAACCGGGGGGGTCACTACCGGTTCGACCCCCCCCCCTTCGAAAACCGAGGGGGGGTGCGGACAGTGGTGGGGACGGTTGTGGTGGGGACAGTGGTGAGGGGACAGCGGGACAGTGGTGGGGACAGTGGGACAGTGGTGGGGACGGTAGTGGTGGGGACACTGGTGAGGACAATGGTGGGAACAGTGGGGACAGTGGGACAGTGGTGGGGACGGTGGTGGTGGGGACAGTGGGAATGTGGTGGAAACAGTAGGACAGTGGAGGGTACAGTGGTGAAGGCGGTGGCGAGGACGGCGGTGGGACAATGGGACAGAGGTACAGTGGGGACAGTGGTGGGGACAGTGGTGGGAACAGAGGGACAGCTCAGTGGAACAGCGGAGGAGTCAGTGGGACAGCGGGGACAGTGGGGATAGTCGGGCAGTGGTTGGGGCCGTGGAGAAAGCTGGGAGAGTGGAGCCGTGGTGGGAACAGTGGTGGGGACAGTGGGGACAGTGCGACACTGGTGGCACTGGTGGGGACAGTAGGGGCGGTGGTGGAACCAGTGGGGACAGTGGTGGTGAGGACAGTGGTGCTGGGAAGAACAGTGGGGGATGTGGTGAGGACGGTGGTAGGGACCGGGAGTCGTTTCCTGGCGGTGAGAGGGGGGGTGGGGAGGGGTTCGAACCGGTAGTGACCCCCCCCTCCGGTTTTCGAGGGGGGGGGGGTTCGAACCGGTAGTGACCCCCTCCGTTTTTCGAGGGGGAGGGGGGGGAGGGGTTAGGGGAGGGGGGGTTTTGCCGGGGGAGAGGGGGGAGGGGGGGGGGGGCAGCAGGGGGGGGGGATTTTCGGAGGGGGGGGGGGAACCCCGGGTTCCGGAGGAAAAAGTTTGCAATTATCCATAGTAAAGCGGCGGTGGATCACGCTCTCTCCTAGATCCCCATCTAGGGGGTAAATCGGCCAGTGGGGCCCAGGCCACGCCGCTGGGGATGGGTGTCGGATAAAGGGTGCTCATTAAGTTCAGGATCCAGTACCCTGGCTGTCCAACTGAGGTCAGACAGTCGCGCCGCATCACTGATGCGTCGCCAATGCATCTGGAGCTTGGTTTTCTCCGTAGCGACGTCGAGTATGCTTCGCCGCTGTATCGTGAGTGCATTGCGATTTCAGTTGCAGGCTGACTCCAGTCAGGGCAAATTCTGGTCCCAAAGGTGTCCCAAGTCGGGTCCAAAAGCCAGGCCCAAGAGTCGGACAGCGTGGGTGTCCACGTGGGCTCCCGTGGAGCGAGCACCAAACTAAACTTCTCGTGTCCAGCCTTCCAGCGACCCACATCCTCTTCCTCCTCCTCCTCCTCCTCCTCCTCCTCCTCCTCGTCCTCCTTCCCCCTCTATCCTCTATCCACTATCCTCTATCCTCCTTCTTCCTCCTCCCCTCCTCCTCCTCCTCCTCCTCCTCCTCTCCTCCTCCTCCTCCTCCTCCTCCTCCTCCTCCTCCTCCTCCTCCCCTTCACCTCCTCATCCTCCTCCTCCTCCTCCTGGAGGGCCTCGCTGCGCCGGGAGGGTTTTTTCCCAACCATCATGTGGTGTTGGGTCCTCCTTTTGAAGAGACGGTCCCTCGCGTCTCCTCCTCTCCTCCTCCTCCTCCTCCTCCCCCTTTTCCTCCCCCTCCTCCCTCCTCCCATCCGCCTCGTCACCTCCCTGCGTTTCACCCACCCAGGACAGCGCTTCGTGGCCCCATAGGGAGCTCCACCGAAGGCCCCAGTGGCAAAGTTCGCATGCGTCCCCCCGCCCATTTCGGCACACCACTCACGAGGATCGTGGCCCCATACGGAGCTCCGCCGAAGGCCCCAGTGGCAAAGTTCGCATGCGTCTCCCCGCCAATTTCGGCACACCCCTCACGAGGATCGTGGCCCCTATAGGGAGCTCCACCGAAGGCCCCAGTGGCAAAGTTCGCATGCGTCCCCCCGCCCATTTCGGCACACCCCTCGCGAGGATCGTGGCCCCGTAGGGAGCTCCACCGAGAGCGGTGCCCACAATGCGGCACTCACACGTTCATATGGTTGGGTCCTTCGCCAGGATACTTCGTTGTTGATTACCCCTTCCCTTCTGGGGGCCCGAAGAGGTGCGGCGACTGCGCCCTGGTGAGTTATTGGGGGGGGGGGTCGGGGTGATCGCACGCTTTTGGGGACCCGGGCCGATCTCCGAGGATGTGATGTGCGGCTGGGGCCTGCGAGGTCACGTACCAAATCGTGGAGTGAGGGACCTTGTGGTGGGGTCTCTGAAGATTCCGATGTCACTGCACGGTCTGTCCCTGCACCGCTCTGGACCCCCCCAAGAGTCTCGGGGGTCTCCCCCCTGGGCCACCAGTTGACCGTGAAGAAGCAGCCCGTTGCGAAGAGCCTTTGGGGAGGGGTCGAGGGGTCTGGGGCCCGTCGGCTGAACAAATAGCAGTATGAACAGAAGGTTCAAGAGGTCCTTCGGGCTGCCCAGGCAAGGTACTTGGCGGTACCGTCGGGCTGTCCAGGCAGGGTCCTTGGAAGTACCTTCGGACTGCCCAGGAAAGGTACTTGGAGGTACCTTCGGGCTGCCCAGGAAGGGTCCTTGGAGGTACCTTCGGACTGTCCAGGAAGGGTGCTTGGAGGTATCTTCGAGCTGCCCAGGAAGGGTGCTTGGAGGTGCCTCCAGTGGTCTGCCCAGGCAGGGTCCTTGGAGGTACCTTCGGGCTGCCCAGGAAGGTACTTGGAGGTACCTCCTGGCTGCCCAGGAAGGGTGCTTGGAGGTGCCTCGGGTCTGCCCAGGAAGGGTACCTGGAGTTACCTCTGGGCTGCCCAGGAAGGGCAACTGGAGGCACCCCTGGGCTGCCTCGGACAGGTGCACGCGGATGTCGGCGCGGCTCATGGCGCCAGTGGAGGGGGGGCCCGGGGCCGACCCGAGACATCCGCGCGGGCCCGCGAAAGTGCGTTGTTGTAGTAGTGATTGTTGTTGTTGTTGTTGCTGTTGCTGTTGCTGTTGCTGTTGTTGCTGTTGTTGTTGTTGCTGTTGTTGTTGTTGTTGTTGTTGTTGTTGTAGTTGTTGTGGTTGTTGTTGAACTCTCATTCTTGAAGAATAATTATTGTTGATCCCCCCCACCGGTGCACATTGGTTTTTTTCCGTTGAAGTGCCACCCCTGGGGCTCGCACCTTGTTTTTTTCTCAAGGAAAGTCTTCCTGCTCAAACTGTGCCCCTGCCCCCCGGGCTACAACAACAACGGCTCCCGCCTGAGACTTCCTCGATTTTTACTCAGGACTCCCGCTCCCGCCTGAGACTTCCGCGCAATTTACTCAGGATAGGCGCTCCCGTTTGAGACTTCCTCGCAATGTAATCAAGACCCCCGCTCCCGCCTGAGACTTCCGTGCAATTTACGTGGGAACGGCGCTCCCGCCTGAGACTTCTTCGAATTTTACTCAGGACCCCCGCTCCTGCCTGACATTTCCGCGCAATTGACTCAGGAACGGCGCTCCCGCCTGAGACTTCCTCGCAATTTAGTGAGGACCCCCGCTCCCGCCTGAGACCTCCGTGCAATTTGCTCAGGAACGGCGCTCCCGCTTGAGACTTCCTCGCAACTTAGTCAGGGCCCCCGCTTCCGCCTGAGATTTCCTCACAATGTACTCAGGACTGCGCTCTCGCGTGCGACGTCCTCACAAATTATTCTGGAATTGCGTTTCGGCGCTCAGGAACCACGCACGCGCCAAGGACGCCTTCACAACGTGGTATCTTCCCTCTTCCTTCGTCCTTCCCCCTCCCCTTCCTCCCACTCTCCCTCGTTCTTCCCCTCCTCCTCTTGCAGGGCCCGCGCCAATTCCAATGGCGGGCAGAGAGATGTACGCCCCCGAAGGATTGTCCGCCCGTTCCGGTTTGCCCGTACGTCTAAGCCCGCCGGCCCCAGCAAGGAGAAATAATCCCCCCGAAAGGGGTGTGATCGAAGACGAAGAGGGCGGGTATCGAGGGTGTAGGGTATACGTGTTGAATGACTCGCGGGCAAGTAAGAGCGTACAGCCTTAAACTGGTTGTTGTTATTGTTGTTGCTGTTGTTGCTGCTGTTGTTGTTGTTGTTGTTGTTGTGGTTGTTGCTGTTGTTGTTGAGCTTTCATGTGTGGCAGTAATTTCTGTTGATCCCCCAGCGGGTGCACACTGCATGTGTTCAATTGAAGTGCCCCTCCCGCGCTCGCACCCCTCTATTTATCAGGGAAAGTTTTGAGGTTCCAATTGTGCCCCTGCGCCCTGGGTTACAACGACAACGGCTCCCGCCGGAAACTTCCTAACACTTTAGCCAGGACCCCCGCTCCCGCCTGAGACTCCCTCGCATTTGATTTAGGAATCGCGCTCTCGCTTGGGACTTCCTTACAATCTATTCAGGAATCGCTCTCCCGGCGCTCTGGAGTCGCGCTCTCGCTGGAGACTTGCTCGCAATTTACTGAAGAATGGCCTTGCGTTGGAATTTCTTGCGATTTGCCGAAGCGCCGCGCTCCCGACACCCAGGCA